CACACAAAGCACATGCTTCCACACTCACACACACATACTCTCACCCACATGCTTACACGCTCACACATGCACATACTACATGCTTACACACTCACACACACGCACATACTACATGCTTCCACACTCACACTCAGACCCTCTCGCTTTGCTCTCTCTGCGTGCGCCCGTGCAGGACTGCCTCAGCCCCTTCCAGGACGGCTGTTTCATGGAGCTGGATGGCCGCCCCCTGTGCACGCTGCACTTCCACGCCCGGCAGGGCACGCTGTGCGGAGGGTGCGAGAAGCCCATCTCGGGCCGCTGCATCGCGGCCCTGGGGCGCAAGTTCCACCCCGACCACTTCGTCTGCGCCTTCTGCCTGCGCCAGCTGGCCCAGGGCGTGTTCAAGGAGCGCGAGGGAAAGCCCTACTGCGCAGGCTGCCACCAGAGACTCTTCCTTTCGTGAGCCCACGGTTTGCTCCTGGTTCGTTCTTGGTCTTTTTCTTTTATCTAACTACACAAGTACATGCTCACTAATGTTTACAAAGCCACGATAGGTTAGGGTAAAAAAAATACTGATTTCATACTGATGTCGCTTGATAAGTGCACGCTTCTAAATACATTAGAAATAATCTGCTGGATGGGAAGGATAAGGATGGAGAGCCAGCGCAGCACAGCGAAGTAAATCGTTTCAAAATCACTGTAGCTAAAACACCCCTGAAGCAGAAAAAACATTAGAGGAATATGGATGTCTTTATCTCTAAATAATTCAAACAGTTAGATATTTCCTTTGTGGTGGCTCATAAGCTTTATTTTCAGATCTGAGTTGAAAACAATAACAGTTCTAAATTGGATTCTGCTTACATCATGTCTAGGGTAAGAAACACGACCGAAGGTGTTTTAAATCTTAAGTTAAAATGTTATAAATCATTTCAACCCACAGTACATGATATGGTTATTCATTTTACATCCTCACTGCAGACAATATTGATGTCATCATAAAAACCCTTACAATGTGACATTGGAGTAGACATAACAGAAGTGAATGATATGATTAAAAACAGGAATTTAACTTCAACTGATAATTCTGCTTCAATAATGCTGACTAGATGTCTAGATGACACGTAATGCCTTCTGGCATTTGAATGGTTGCTATCTTTCAATCTATTTGATAAAATGTCTTTCATGGAAGACCTGTGTGTGCCAAAATGTGGACAAGTTATGATAAATAAATAGTTTGGGAACAAAATAATTATGACACACTGGCAGAGGTTAGCATTGCAGTGCTGGGGATCTGGGCTGTCCGCATGGAATTTATAGGTTCTCCATGTGTTTGCATGAGTTTCCTCCCACAGTCCAAAGACATTCTGGTAGGTAATTCATTTCTGGGAAAACTGGCCCCAGTGTGTATGAGTGCGTCTGTATTTGTGTCTGAGTCGGCCCTGTGATGGACTGGCATCCCATCCAGGTTGTATCCTGCCTTGAGCTTGTGGCTTGCCTGGATAGACTCCAGCTTCCCCCACAACCCTGTACTGGATGAAGCGGAGAGAGAAGGGATAGATGAAATGTATGCAACATCTCCCCCTAGTGGAAAAAGTGACTGTCCCGATACAGAATTACAGTACCTCAAAGCACTGAAACCTCCGGCTGCAAACATGAATGGATTTTAGTGTCCTCTCCTTGTGAGTCTGTTACATGTGAGTGTTGATTTCATTTTTTTTTAATCTCTAGACTGGAAATATCTTCTTCGATCTACTAGATTGCAAATCTGCAAATGGGATGAAGACAGAATAAACTCACTTCATTATCCGCCACGCTTGATTCAATGTGTTATATTTCCAAATGGATTTTGAGCTTTCTTAAAGTATTAGCCTGCACAAGGTATTTTACATATGTATGTGAGTGAATTGTGAATGAATATGATATGGTTAATAGAGAATATAATAAGGCAATATGAAATAATAATTAATTGCATGTTTCATCCTGAAGAAACCCAAGGCATTTACGTATAGGAGGGAACCCCTTCACCAACCAAACTCCTACAAAGCTTTAAAAGGTCCTCCTGTTCTCAGTTTTAAAAGCACTTCCACATAGATTTTGCTTGAGTTCTCTAGTCAATGTTTTACATGATCTACTGTATATGGTTGAACTCAAAGGCTTGGTGGATGTGAATGTTTCACTCAGGTCCCCTTGTAGTCTAAAACAAATTAGTTTTTTTAGCCTGTCTGTATAGGACATTCCTTTATAAAGTACCTCAGTGCTGTTCGTTGGACTTATTCCAGAGTGGCAATATCTTTTTTTGGTAGCATAGTCGCCACCACTGCATACAAAATTCTAAATGAGATCTCACCAGTGTATTGTATAATTTTAACATATATAATATATATGTACCTGTATATATATGAACAGTTCTTGATTTTGATTATACACTTTTAAACTATATATCCTAACTTTGTGTTTTATTTCTTAGCCACATTGTCTGGAAGACGTAGATGATATCAGCCTAAACATTTGTCATTTTCATAAGTTGTATCTTCAAGCTCTTTCTTTCCTTTTTAATATTTGTAGTTTGCTTTTGTTATTTCTACTGGACATATACCTGCTAAGATTATATGCCATCTGCCTGAAGTTTACCACGAGTGCTATCCATTTTTTTATTTCCTCTGAAGCTTCTATGGTGCTTAAGAATCCTCCTATTTTGATATAATCTGACAAGTTTACTAGTTTGCTATACAAGAATCTAAATCATTGACTTATGTCAGAAATAGCAGCGTCTTAATACAGATCTTTGTAGTACTCCAATAATTATATCACTCCAGGTTGAACATTCACACCTGTACTGTACTCTATCAATCAGTTCTTAATTTAATTTCCATGAATGCCTACTGCAGATATTTAGAGAATTCATGTTTGATAAGGAATATTATTAAAAGCCTCCTGAAAATTGACATATACATGTTTGATATGTATTCATTATTGCTCTTGGTGATTCTGAAAACTATGACTATCTTAAAACTAAGATAATCAAGACCTGCATGTACTAAAAACATGTTGACTACCCCCTAGAAGCCTTATATACAGTACCTTATATTATAGATGATACTTATTGATAGCTTATTTCTAATCAAAGTTTCTGTACCCTTTACCTTACAGACATATTAGTCTGTTCAGTAAGTACAGTAAGTGAGTATGCTCAGTATGCTCAATGATTAGCCATATAAATAATTCTGCACCTTTTTGCCAAATGTGTTTTCCTTTTCTCACACTCTCACTTCATGTCTGTGTACCACCTGTTGCTTGGAGAAGCTGAGTGCCTTGATTGAGAATCCTGTGAAAAATCTCAGCTGTATTCTAGCTGTGGCAAGAAACTCCACTGCGGAGAAAGAAGAATAATTTAGATTCATTTCCTAGACCACTTCATCAGAGTCACAGGGTGGTAGGAGTGTATCCTGGCAAGCAATGGGTGCAAAGCAGGATTCAACCAGTCAGTCCTTCTCAGAGCACACAGACTCAGATAAACACATATTCACAGCAGGGCCAATTTCCCCAGAAACCAATCAATAAACATGAGAGATAACCAGAGCACCCACATAAACACAAGGAGAACATAAACAACTCCACGCAGATGGCACCCCAGTAACTGAACCCAAAGCCCCAGTGCTCTGAGGAAGCAATGCTAACCACTGCACCATTCACTATGCCGCCCAAGAACAAAATTAACTTTTTTGAAAAGTTAAGTCACAGTATGAGGAACAGCTAAAGAAAAAACGTACTGTATGTGTTTTTAGAAAAGAACCCAAACCCCTCTGACCTCCCAGTTGGGTAATCTGTCACATCATAGCCAGTCCACTGAGGGATGTTTTTCAGAAAAGTAAATTGCTTTGGACAAATGGAGTTCATAAAAAAATGATATACGGAGTAGACAGGCCTGAATCATTTCAGCTGGCTTAGGCTACGTTTCGGCTGGCCTTGTTTATCAGTGTTGCATGCCAATGGCTCCCACTGTCTTGGTCTAATTCCTCTGGATCCTGATTTCAGAAATACCAGTGGAGTCTGGGTGACCATCAGCTCCCATCGCTGCCAGATGAAGGCAGCGATGAGGAAAGCACTGTCTCTTTATTTAAACTGAGCACTCTCTCTACAGGCAGCTCTTTAAAGTTCATGTTGATCTGCCAAAAGCAGACATGGACCATCACTGAGGTTGAGGATGTGAAAAGCATTGCACTGGGACTGGAGATGCTGTGCTAGCATTTATTGTGGCTCCAAATGAACCGTTTCGTCTGCAGACGGAAGACGGAACATCTGGTGCTTCTGGATTTTGGATGAAGACTTTAAAGTGGGAGAGACAAGATGTCTCTTTGGCATGCTCCTATTGTTTTTGAGCAGCATCTACAGAATTCATTTATTCTATGCAACTACTGTTACTCTTTCCAGGCAGCTCTCCACCCAGCAAATCTGTATTTGATGCTTTTCCAGTACTGCTCTCTAATGCCTTCAGTCCCACGTCACTCATAACTCCTCTCACCCTGTTTACTCCTCTACTGGCTGATTCGCCATGCGTTCCGCTCACTGTCCAGGCTGTCCTTCCTGACCCATCTCTTCTCCCAGACCCTTGTGGCTTCAGCTGCCATTAACCCAGCATCTCTAATCAATTTCCAGAGCAAGAAAACCCATCTGTTGAGATGGTTCTTGTAGATCTTACACTCTGCTCTTGCTTTGCACCTTATATATTATCATGCTATTAATATAAAGATAACTATATTACTGTTTTTAGCCATAGTAATACCCTACAAGACCTCATTTCTGGGACTGTGATAAGCTAATAAGTTTCAGCTAGGGGTCATGTATAGTACATTCTGTAATGAAAATGTGTGATCTAATTATATTAAAAAAGATAACTGTTCAATGATTACAACTTGAGGAAGCCAAATTTGATCTCTCAAATATTGATAGAAGAAATCTCTTTATCAATGATTTTCTAATCCTGGTTCCAAATAATAGTAGCATTTAAAGGTTTGTATGAAGCCTTTCGGAGAACAAATTAACTACAGGAAACCTATATTTTTTCACCTAAAGCACAGCAGATTAAGCATTTGGCGTGTAGACAAGCTGCCCCTGCAGGACTGTGATGTAAGTAAGAAGAGCAGGTAGCTTAATATGAGATTGTCCTGAAATGAATACGTACCAGTCAGCTCGAATGTGTATTACATTGTTCCTCTGATGTGGAGAGGAGAAAGGAGGATTACGTATAAGGAGCCTACAGTATGATTATGGAAGATAGGAGAATCTTGCCTTGTCTCCTGGGATTCTGGTATTCCTTCTTTCAAATGACAAGTTGTAAACAAGCACTTAATTGCAGGACTGAAACACAGTCTACAATGTCTTGGGTGAACACTACATTGAGTTTAGTCTTGAAGACTGTGTGGAGAAAACTCATTCCTCAGTTGGAGGCCAAGATACAGAAGTGTCAGGATTAAACAGTCGATGATAGTAAAACAAAGGAAAAGAAGTAAAACTGCAAATATGGTTGGAGAATAATTCACAGATTCACTCCACTTACTGACATTCCCCATCATACAGTATACTGTTTTTACACTTTTCTTTTCAATGTCATGAGCAGGAAATAATCTGCAAATAATAAGCAAAGGATCTATAAAAATGATTAAATGAAGAGTCAGATTTAATACCCACAATGCCACTGGCCTTACACTAGACCTGTCTGTACTTAAATAATTGTTACACTTATACAGCACTTTTGTTATATATGGACACTCCACTCAAAGTGTTTTACAGGTAATGGGGACTCCCCTCCACCACCACCAATATGCAGCATCCACCTGGATGATGCAATGGTAGCCATATTGTACCAGTACGCTCACCACACACCAGCTATTAGTGGAGAGGAGAACAGAGTGATGTAGCCAGTACATGACTGAATCTATGACTGGTAAAGTTGAGGGGGTAATTTGGACAGGATACCAGGGTTACACACCAGACATTAAAGAGTCTGGGCCTCAGTTTTACATCTCATCTGAAGGACGGGGCCTTATTTCACAGTATAGTATCCCTGTCACTATACTGGGGCATTAGGACCAACATAGACCACCGGTTGAGCGCCCCCTGCTGGCCCCACTAACATCTCTTCCAGCAAGAACTTTAGTTTTTCCTAGGAGGTCTCCCATCCAGGTACTGACCAGGCTCACACGGCTGAGCTTCAGTAGGTGGCCAGTTGTGAGCTGCAGCATGACATACCTGCTGACAAGCTAATTCTTTAAATTAGGGATTGTGAATGGCATTAATAAATTCAATATATTTACAGACATGTCATATTGTCCAACATCTTCTGTACATTAATTGGATGTTAGTAAAAAATCCCTGATATTGGATATAGCCTGAACCATAACCCTAATCATAAGGTTTTCATTATTTAGTTAATTATTTTTGTCTGACATAATTAATAACATGCTTATACTCTGTTGTATTTGGGAATCCATCATTAATAAAGTGTTAATTTATTTTCTGTAAACAGTTATAAAGGAAACAAGAACCTACATTGCCAACCCTGTTATCTCTAGTCTAACCGGGTTAGTAGTCTAATTTCTATGGAATTCATCCATCACTAATCTGGCAGTATTATGTAACACTACATTTGTAAGTTTTGTGTTCATGTAAAGTGTTTTCGGTGACCCTTGTTAAACACGCTATGCAAAAGAATTGAACCGTTTCGAATACAAGCTTCGCGTGGGAGCATTCGTGTCATTCCCGAGTCCGTCAAGAGAGGGCGCCCTGGTGTTGGCTGACCGAGCGAATGCTGTCAGAACCAGCGGTCTTTCAACACAATACCAGTGACCACTTCGTTATGTCTATAAGTGGGAGTGAGACTGTGATGACATTTTACGATGATAACTGATTCGTGGACATATATCAAAACAAGCTAAGAAGTATTTATTTTATTCCTGATCCATATATGTGCCTCAAATTGTCATTGTGTCTTAAACTTTCTGGTTTCTGTGTGTGAGGATGTTTTTTTTTCCCTTTGATAGAAGACAAAATTAAAGTCTTTTGGCGGACATCATTCTTGGTTCCTTGCTATAATGTTTTTTTTAAACCCTTACTACTACTGCAGCTGTAGAGAAGATGACTAAATTCTCTGATGTTCATTTGATATTGACCAGCTGAAGGTTTACACAGAACCCTTTTCTCAAATGGGTGTCGTCAGCACGTACTGTACCATTTAGCACTGTCTTGTTCACTGCATAGACGATCAGATCTCGAGGTGCAAATTCTTTTGGGAACTTTTATCTGTTGTTTTTTTTTAATCTATTATGTATTGAGAAATGTTTATAGTACTACAATCAAAACCATTCAAATAGAGTTTACATATTTTTTGATCTGCGAGATAGTCCATCAAAGCCAACAAGAGTTTATTTTTTTTTCTCACACACTGGAAAAAACTTTCAGGTATGTCAGCAGCTGGAACTGAATTGGCTAATGACTGCTTTATCACTAGAGGGAATGCCTGCATTGATCTAGTCTTTTGTGAACAATCATGGTAGAGTGACTGCAAACATAATACAGTGTGCTTTGAAGTATATTTTGAAACCATGCAGCTATAGTCCAAAACAAAGATCTGCAGTTTCAGGACTGCTATGAAGGAAGGAGACCAATTCTAAGAGAAGCACAATGAAACAAACTAGATCTAAAATCAGGAGAGACAATTTAAGATGTTCTGCCTGAAGCACGGAACATTTCTTTTTCATGTAAGGTTGTGGAAATGATCATTAGAACTCAATTCAAAGACAATCTGTATGGCATTAGGAGTAGCTAATGGATTTAGAAAAGGCAGATCTTACCTTGTCTTTAGAGTTCTTTGAAACTTTTACTTAAACCGGCTTTTATGAAAAGTTCCTCAGTTACTCATATAAGACTACTTTTTGTATTACTGGCA